GTAGGAACCGCGGCTGTTGATCAGGAGGTCCTGGATTCGAATCCCGGGTCGGATCAAAAATAGATAATGGGTTTTTTGTCAAGAAATTCTCAGTAGCATCCGGGAATCAGGAAGTTGACGATGTTTCTCCCACGTGCCTCTGTCTCTTAGGACATTATATAAAAACGAAACTTAGAGGTCAAGTGTATCATAATTATTAATTATGTAAAAGTATGACAACCCTGGACAACCAACCAACACACGCAGATTCGACGACTTCCAGCCTCCCGAACAAGCCGGTTTCTGAAAAGGCTTCAGTACCATAGACCACATACATACCCTGCGGCAGATTGTACAGAAGACCGAAGAGTACAATCTGCCACTTAGCCTGGCGTATGTGGACTACGAGAAGGCCTTTGATTCCGTCGAAATTTGGGCGGTGCTACAGTTCCTTTAGCGGTGCCAAGTTGACTGTCGGTATATCGAAGTGTCTCCCAACGGATAGGTCTTAAGATGAACATGGACAAAACAAAGATCATGTTTAATGTCCATGTCACACCTATGCCGGTAGTTGTTAGGAGCACTATGCTCGAAGTTGTTGATGAGTACGTTTATCTGGACAAATAGTCCGACTAGGTCCAACTTCGACCGAGAGGTCAATCGACGGATTCAACTCGGCATGGCAGCGTTCGGGAAATTACGACACATCTTCTCGTCAGGTATACCTCAAACTCTGAAAACTAGATTGTACAACCAGTGCGTGTTGCCAGTGATGACTTAAGGATCTGAGACGTGGTCCTTCACTGCTGGCCGTATGAACTCAAGGTCGCTCCGCGAGCTATGGAGAGGGCTATGCTCGGAGTTTCTCTGCGTGATAGACTCAGAAATGAGGATATCCGCAGTAAAACCAGAGTGACCGACATAGCCCAACGGATTAGTAAGCTGAAGTGGCAATGGGCCGGCCATATAGCTCGAAGAACCGATAACCGAAGAGGAAGAAAGGTTCTCGAGTGGCAGCCTCGTACCGGTAGGCGTAGTGTAGGGCGACCCCCCACTACCTGGTAAGAACGACCTGGTAAGATATGCAGGAAGTCGATGGATGCAGGTGGCTCAGGACCGTGCTTTGTGGCATTACTTGGGGGAGGCCTATGTTCATCAGTGGACTTGTGAAGGGCTGTAATGATGATGATGATGATGATGATGATGATGATGACGACAACCCTGTGGTATATGGTTAGAACACCTTATTACAGAACCTTGTGTCCTAGGTTCCTGTACTCAAATTGCTGCACAAAGACATTGTTGATTTTTTGGTCTGGCTGTCTTATAAAGTGATTTAGCCTTCTAAGACACTCCGTCCTAGTTTGCTTTCATTATTACCGCATGCGTATTATGTCGACCTCGAGAAGAGTGCGTTCTTTATGCGAAGATTTTAGTCTTCGCTAATATTCGGAAGCTATCGCTAACCATATCCGTCACACATACCTACATTATCATAGAACGAATAGAACACTAAACGATATTACAAACTACCACCGTTTAGTGCATAGAATACTATAATACACAATAGAATAGCTGTCAACTTTATTTTATACGAGGAATGGCGTCGCCAAACCCGATTCGCAGTGTTGACAGACTGAGTAAATTTACATATTTTAGACCTTTGATTAATGTTCAAGATCATCATTAAATTTTAATACATAATTATTTGTAAATGGGATGCGATTCGGCATTTTCTAAATAATTTTCATGCGAAATTTGGAAATGATTGTAACGTCAAAACACATCTCGTGTTGACATTTATACGTGTGAATTAATGTGTTAGTGACATTTTAATGGCTACACGGGCTCCGCCCACTTCCTCGTTCTATTATGTATGTATTAATAGTATTCTATGGTTTAATGGCGGTGTTAGAATATCCAATATTTTATAGTCCCACGGTAGTCGTAAGAGGCGACAGAGAAATACTGAAACACGAGATGGGCATATTTCTGATAACAACTCAAAATAATTAAAAAACTGTGGTTGCCAACCCGCGTGCCAAGCGTGGCGACTACAGCAAAATTCCCAAGTGAGGCAATCTATGGAGGAGGCCTATTATACAGTAAAAATGAACAATGTTACATTCAGCTGGGTGCTGCTGTAGGCCATCCCGTCATTAAAAAGGGATTATGTTTCATTGTTATTACTATTTTTGTTACAGTATTGAAGGCGATAAATGAAGACAGCCCTACGGTGCCCACGCTTTTAACGGACTATATCTTAAAGGTCCTTTGCCCTACATAAAGTGTCAAACATTTAGCCGATTCTCACGCATATTATGTTCACAAAATTTACATTTCTAAAAGTAAAATGTGTGTCTGCCGCGAATATAATTGACAGTTTAGTTTGTTAAGAACATATTAATAAAATTAGCGCTTGTAAAGCTTGTCAGTAAACTAAAATAGAGCCATAATATTAATAATTGTTTGTGATCATTTAATTTTAGGTCATGATTCATTTATTTTTAAGTTGGTATCTAGGGCTTATAGCTAACAGAAACGTAATGAATAAATAATTGTAGAAATATTTTGAGTACGATTTTCAGTTTCTCATTTTTGATTTCGATTTCATCAAACAAATACATTTTTATTCATGGTACATGAAAATAAATACACTAATTGCAATACTTAAGTGCTGTAATAATTTGCACTATATTTTTATCAATAATAATTGTTCATAATGCCGTTAATATCTGTAATGCCATAACAACTGTTTGTAATTTAATCAGTTTTAACATCGATATATATGTACTACGCACTAGATTTCGCATTCCACTCACTTTGTAACTTTGTTCAACTGAACTGTACTGCAATCCGTACATCTGTTATTGTGGCTTCGATATTCATGCAGTGCGGAGAGGCGCTAATAATAATTTTATATTAAATTACCACACATTAAATTAAACGAAAATTAAAAAAAATATACTCGATTAACAATACAATCTAAATAAACAATTATTTATTATGACAATTTTCGCGCGTTTATATCAACTGCGCATGCGCGACTCTACTGTTTCCCGCGCATACGCGGATACAGAGTAGTGCACATTTTTTGTTTGGAATAGCTTCTCTAGTACGTAGTACATATAACTCAATGCGTTTTAAGCATTTTTAGTAAAATCGAGTATTTGATTACTTTTTGCATAAATGAACTGTGATATCGTATTATGGTAGTTTGTTAATTAATACTTCCTTTTAGGTTTACAATATTTGATGTTTTCGTTGATAAACAGTTACATGATATTTATTTATTAAGAAAATAAATTATATATTTTACCCTTTTATTATCTGTCTTTAAATAAGTTTGGCATTATGTAATGTAAATAATATGTTTAAAATTAAACCGGAATTGTCATTTCAGGGTTATATATTAGTAAAGTTTAATTATTATAGGGTAACACTTGAGGGAGAAGCTTGTAAATAGTTTTAATATTAGACTCATAGTTTTAGATCATTTTTTAGTTTATTTTTAAACAGGACCTTGCTATGTGTTACTTGTTTACCATCTTGCTATTAGAGACCTATTTACAAATCATCAATTTAAAAAGATTTTTATGATAAGGTCCTAATATTATGATTTTCAATTTTATTTTTATTGATACATCGAACCAAGTTAGATTTTTTGATATAGCCACAATTAATAATTTAATAATTCTATTTTCATAATTTTAATCATATTCTAGAATTTCACTAATCGTGAGCACCATTATATAGAATTATAGGTAAAAAATAAGGTTTGTTTCTAGTCGCATTATTTCGTAGTCATAAATTTGTTGTAACATCCCAATTACGACAGCAATATTTATGATTATGAAATAAATTCTAAAATATTGCATGATATTATGTAAAGTTGATGTTGTGATTTTTAAAATTAAAACCGCATATCTGAATGCGATTTACAAAAAAATATATATTATTCATATACACATGTGAATTAAAGCTTACGTCGCACATTTTAAATTTCGTGTAGGACACTTATTTGTTGTATCTAAATACTCAGATAAATCAAGTTGAGGTACCTTATTGAATAAAATATCAAATTGTAAAAGTATAATAAGTAATAAGTAAATAAAAAAATAATAAATACTAGTGTCAGTGGAGAAGCGACATTGCACTCGGTACTTTGCTACTTAAGCATAATAGGGTCTTGACAAGCTTTTGTGTGGTCATCTGACTTGTGACTAAAAGGTTAATCACGGAATTGGTGGTCAAAATAAAAGAGCTTGGATGAATAGTTTTTGTTTTTTTTTCCTTTTTTATCCATTTTACCAATTTTATCGTAAGACAAAAATATATCTGAGTGAATTGTTTTATTTCTAAATAATATCTACTCCACTCATTCCCAATTCCAACAAAATTATATTCAATGAAGTATTTTATCATTTTATACCATGGGTGTCGTAAGAGGCAACTGTGGGCAATTCTAGAAATACATCGTGGCTTTCAATAGAGGACGATTTAGCTATCTCTTTTACGCCATACAAGATATCCAGACCGCCGGCGGAAGGTCCGATACTTACGATATCTCTTGCAGTCATCAATATCTAAAAAGGGAGAGGCACATATACATATACACAAATTACCCTTCTTGTTCATCATCAGTCCTGATTTATATTATATAATTATCATCCGATAATGTGTTGCCTAAAAATTAAAAAAAAAATACCTACTCGATACACCCTATTTGTTCTCATTTTTGAAAGGTTTGGAGAAGGAATGGTGTATGCAAATCGTTATGCAATTATATGTTGCATCACGATATTTTCCTTTGCCTTCGTGCATGTGCTAGAGCCACATGTGTTTTTCACTGTTAAATAGATCTAACAGTGGCGAACAATTTCAAAACGCTCAACTCTGAACTTATGTAATTCGACTGAGTTCGCGCTTAATAAAACAAAATTTACACTTCTTAAAGTATTCTTTCATTTATATAAAATTGAATGAAATTATTTTATTAGAATATTTTTTTCTTCGGTTTTTCACATATGTTGTATGATGAAGCTATAGAAACTGGTAACTCTGGTGAAAGCAGATGGATAACCAAGTTGGCAGCCGATGTTCGCTACGAATGAACTAATGCCGACCTGGAAACAAAAAAAAATATCAGTTCTGCTACGATATGTCTTAGTAAATAGGGGATTATTTTACTTTAAAAACGTCAATAAAATCGAGGAGAGTGTGCCTCCCCGATTCTCTTGATTCTCTCCTCTCCGCAATACGACCTTCGGTACGGAAACGAAACAGCTGCATGCATCTGCTATTTTACGCTGGTATTCTGTGAGAGCGTGGAACTCCCCGGTCGACCTGACGCATCCGTGCTACAGCCATGATATAGCTGCAGCGTGGCTCTACCACGTTAGAAAATTTCCCAAGTCATATTATGTATGATAATGCAATGGATGAGAATGATGGTTTTTGTAAATCGGCAGCTACTTCTATTCTAACGTAACTGCCTAGGTAAAAATGATTAAGTACTAATCGCTCACTGTCATGACGCAACTCAGATATCAATCATTACTTAGGGCTTATAATATTATTTATGTCGTCCCATTGCTATTTCTTTCCCTTAATAATGTTGCGCGCATAAGTTGACGTCAGGTACCTGGCACTAGCGCCATCTGGTGTCGGGGACCAGAGCGAGGAGGGCTTCCTAGAAAATGTCAATCTTGACTTCGACCAACAGCGCCATTTAGTATCGAACAGAAGAATTACACTTTCTATAAGCCCCACACTCGAACTTACTGCGTCTGGTAGGTCGGCACCCGTATCTACTGGAATATTCTGGATGTTTCGATGTAAAAAGTGTATATAAAGCCGCTGCATGCCGCGATCGGGGCAGTATTGAATTTAGCGAGACAAGCGAAGCTTCGGAGCGAAATAAAGTGAATCAATGTGATTAATTATTAGTGTTTTAAGTTTTAATTGTTGTTCGGTGATAAAAGTGTAAATTTAGGTAATTCAATCGGCAGTTTTTATTGTCTCGAACCTCAAGCTCGTAACAATAACTAAATATGGTGTACTTACTAAAATATTCTGTCCGTTTCGGTAAACAACCAGAGGACCACCAGAGTCTCCTCCACAGATGCCAACTCCACCGGCACCGTTCGTACAGATGTTGTTCGCTGTAGCCCAGGAGCCGAACACTGCCTGGCATTGCTGAACCGTGATCACTTGTAAGATGACATGGCTCACTACAGACGAAACTGATACACCAGTTTGCTCTGAAACGTTTTTTGTAGGTTTAACAAACTGCATTGATTATGCTCACAGGGAATATTTTTAAATTATTAAATGTGCGCCTAATAATAATAATGTCCTCCACGTGAAGCACCGACGCTCCGGGAAGTCTGCAGTCTGTGAACATGTTCAGGATCGTCCCCACCATTACATCAGATTTGATAAACCACAAGTCCTCGCAAAAGAACACCGATTCCTACCAAGGATGATACGTGAGGCTATTGAAATTAAAAAACATCCTAATTTCAATAGAGAAGATGGTTGGGTGCTGCCGTCTGCTTGGGATCCTATAATTAACAAAATTAAACCCAAACCCAAGCATACCACTGCAAGACTTCAAGATACTGTAAGTTCGTTTTGCGTAAATCGGACCAAAAATTTATATTCAAAAACTGAAGGTAGCCGGGCTAACAATGACATTGGGACGTCAAACATCTCAGTCCCCCCCGTGACCATGGGTGCTGTAAAGCACCCGAAACGTCGGGATAATAATAAAAAATAAATTAAAGTAATTAAACGCGATAAAATCCGTAAATAATAGTTTTATTCAAAATGTCCTCCAGATCGAATTTCTGTCACGGCGGTCAGTCTCAATGGAGAGTAGCGCAGGACAGGATTATATAGTATAGTATAGTATAGTTACAGCCTATATACGTCCTACTGCTGGGCACAGGCCTCCTTTCATTTTCAGAGAGGGTTTTAGGGCAAGGAATAGTCCGCCGCGCTGCCCCAAAGCGTTTTGGCGAACTTCACATGTCTTCGAAATATTTTTTTTCTTATTTCTGAGACATGCAGGTTTCCTCACGATGTTTTCCTTCACCGCCGAGCACGTGGTAAATCAGCACTTAAAATTGCAATTAACAATTTCATTGGTGCCGGTGGGGATCGAACCCGGTTTGCTCGCGTATTGTGAAGTTTACAGCGAGCGCTAACCATCTGAGCTACCACGGCTCTTGGACAGGATTATAGCACAGTTTAAACACCTTATCTTTAAACTGTTTTTTAATATAAATAATTATAGTGCTCAAGCGTATGTGCAAGCAATGGTGCACTCCCTATTTCCTAACGTAATCCATGCCGACGGTAAACCGTGCTTACTGAGACACGGGGGTAAACCACCGACATCTTCCTGACTCCAGGTCGCTACTGAGAATTTCTTGACAGAAAAACTCATTACTGATTTTGATACCCAACCCGAGATTCAAACCATTAGAGCTACGTGTTAACCAACGTGGCAGTCAAAATGTACCTATGCCTATTGATATATGACGATGAATATGGGATATGGCTGGAAAGAATCCATAACCTCTTTTACCCCCAAAAGACCCTCTATCATTTCAAAGCGAGTCGTAAAAGGCGACTATTAATAGTTCTAAAAAAATCGATATAAAACAGAAAATGATCAAAACAGCAACTATTGATATTTATTAATCAATATATTATCACTTCTACTAAATATTAACATTAAATACTTACGGTCATTTGTTTTGCCATAGCCAGCGGCGGTAGCCCACTCGCCGGTAAACGAGTCCCACAACTGGGTGCCACTAGGCAGCGCGATGGGTTGAATACTCGCTGTATTAAAGAAATTAAGTATTTTAATGGGTTGAGTATTTGTTTACTGTTTTCGAATCCTAGCAAGAGGTAATATTTGTGCACAAAAATATACTTAACATACGTATCGGCTATAATTCAAGTGAGGTTAGAGAGTATTATAAAGAAACTCTTCTCTTGTAATCCTAAATACTACACAACTTTATTTAAACACAAAATGTGCATATTACTGTTCATAAGTAAATAACAATTGATAAGCAAGAAGTGGGTGGTTCTAACCTTTTAAAATAACTTTTCCCTTTGCTGCTAATATTTTATATGAGTAAATGACAAAAGAGTACATAGGTACATACAAATAAGTTGCCCATTCATTATCATCATTACAGACCTTCACAAGTCCATTCCTGAACATAGGCCTCTTCCAAGGAAAGCCAGAAAACACGGTCCTGAGCCCCCTGCACCCGTCGACTTTTTGCAGTTCGTTACTCCATCTAGTGTAGGGTCACTCAACGTTTCGCCTATCTGTACGAGGCTGCCACTGAAGAACCATTCCTCCTCATCGGCTGACGGTTCTTCGAGCTGACTGACCTATTGCCACTTCAGCTTACTAATACGTTGGCTTATGTCGGTTACTCTGGTTCTATTGTGGATATCCTCATTTCTTAGTATATCACGCAGAGTAACCCAAAACATAGCCCTCTCCATACGGCCAGCAGTGAAGGACCACGTCCACGTCTCAGATCTATAGTCATCACTAACAACACGCTCTGGTTGTACAATCTTGTTTTCAAGTTTTAAGGTATTCCTGACGAGAAGATGTGTCGTAATCTCCCGAGCGTTGCCCAGCCGAGTTGAATCCGTCGATTGACCTCTCGGTGAAGTCCCAGGTAAACGTACTTGTCAACTACTTCGAAATTAGTGCTCCCAACAACCACCGGCATAAGTGGGACATGTGCTATAGTCCTAGAGCCTTTTCGGAAACCGGCTTGTTCAGAAGGCTGGAAGTCGTCGAGTCTGCGTGCGACACGATTCGTAGTGACTCTCGAAAACAGCACATAGACACAGCTTAGAAGGCAAATCGGTCTGTAGTTCTTCAAGAGAGCGTTGTCGTCTTCCTTGAAGAACAAGACTACAGCTCCATGCCTCCGCAGTAATGCCACCATGGAAGACTGAATTAAATGTTGCCCATTGATCAATCTTTAACTTTAGATATTTTTATATTAATATTTACACGAGCACACAGTCCACCTGATGGTAAGTAGATGCTTTGGCCCATTGACATCTACATTAAACTTAGATTAAGAATCAAAACGCAGATGCGTTGTCCCCTTAAGGACTAAGATAGAACGCCCCGTTTCCAGTAAAAATGCTCTCCGGTTCTCTACACTCACGATACGAAACACAGCAGTATAAAGCTGCTATTTTATGTTGGAATTCTGTGAGAGCGTGGTACGACCACGCTCTCAGGTCTTGGCCCTGGTTGAGCCGACCCAAACTTGCTACAACCACCATAATATAGCTGCAACGTGGCTCTACCACGTCAAAATATATAAAAAGTTAGACCTTTATTATTTTCTATAAAAAGGGTCTCTGAATCTTGCACGAAATACGATACACAGTAGCATTATACTGTTAATCTATGCTGATAATCTGTGGGCATGACGAATTTGGGCCTTCCCCGGTTTAGCCAATTCGTGTTACATGCTTAATACGCTGCGGCCAAGTTCTAACACGCTTAAAACTTAAATATCAATTCATTTTAAACAATTACTTAAAAATATATGTGAAGTGTATTATTCATGTATTTTATGTTAGACTGGTAACTTAATATATAATTTAATCATTTCACTGTCCCATGAGACGTATAAGAACATTTCGGTTGTTGAACCTTAGTGTCTTTTGTGAGCAGGGATATTGTGAATGTATCCACATGGCGTCGTGTGGTGGCGACGGCTTATGAGAATCCATCACCCCTTTCGTCCCATGAGGGTTGTAAGAGGCGACTTTGGCAAATACCAGAAAAAAATCTAATGGCTACCAATAGATTTTTATAGGATAGGCAAACGAGCACACAGTCCACCTGATGGTAAGTGGTTGCTGTGGCCCATAGACATCTACATCTAACCTCGATTACGAATCAAAATGCAAATGCGTTGTCACCCGTGAGGACTTAGATGGAATGCCTCGTTTCCAGTATAAAGGGTCTCCGGTTCTCTACACTTACCATATGAAACACAGCAGCATTAAGCTACTATTTGACTCTGGTATTCTGTGAGAGCGTGGTCCTTCCCCGGTCGACCCGACACATTCGGGTTACAACTATACTACTAATATAACTGCAGCATGGCTCTACCACGTATATGGCGGTATAATTATCTCGTTTACATAAGACGTCAGATAATATGACCAACGACGGAGAACAGGGTCAAAGGTGCGCGACATCGAGTACTGCGGATATCAATCCGCCTGCCAAGTCCTCCTTGCAGCGATTTTAATCAAATAAAATAATAATTGTACTTGGAGATAGTTTACCAGAGAAGAACACGCTTGTTGGAAGATAGATCACAGCGATGTCATTGACTAATGTGCTGGGAGAGTACTGGGGGTGCGTGATGACCGTAGAGGTAGCAATCCTAGTGCCGCCGTAGAAAAGGTACTGAGAGCCGAGTACCACGACGAACTGATTGGCTTGCAGTGAATGATACCAGCAGTGTGCTGCTGTAACGAGTCTGTTGGCGGAGATGAGCGACGAGCCACAAGCAGATGTTCCCGCGATGTTCACAAAAGTGATGATTAAACCTGCCTGAAATATAATAAAAATAAAGAAAAACTGTAAAATCAGATAGTGCTATCGAAAAAACATGAATTTAAATGTGAAAAAAGTTACGCGAAACCTTTCAGGTGAAGGCGACGTTTAAGAGTTTTTTGGCTTTAAAACAGGGAGTTAAGCTAGCTTTCACGTTAAAAGGCGATGCCAGTTTAAAACTCAAATTGTGTTAACCTTAAATCAGGCAAACCTAAAAAACAGAAACTATAATGTTTAATGCTACTGTCAAGCGGGCATAGTGACAAAAAAATAACATAAAATATACATATAATCTTAGGCTAATAGCCAGCTCCACATATCACAAATTAAGCAGTAGAATACATGCCCAAGCAATAATTATTTAATAATTATAATATAAATTTTTAATTGATTCGCAGCTCTTTAGTTACAAACTTAAACCTTACACCACAAATTTCAAATATTCGTCATCATTACGATAGACAATAGAATCTTTTTTTAGATATTTCACCATTAAAATTGTCCAAATAGCAAATAGTTAAAATAATATTCACTTCACCCTATCGCTGCAGTTTCGATTTTTTTGAAAAAAAGGAACCTAAAAATCGGTTTGAGACAACGAGAATGTTTTTTTTTAAATAAACCCGAAGGCTGTCATTTGACAGCCTATCGCGGCCCACTATTGTCGTGTCTTCCAACTGAGAGGATTATAAACTTTAATGAAAAAAACTTTACAATTAAACAAAGTTATATGTTTTCCGTTCGTTGCTTGAAATAACAATTACTTCGTAAAAATAACTCATTTTCTCTACTACAATAAGCTCTAGGCAAATTTTAGATAGCTTATATATTTATTTAGTAAAAATAATCATTCTCCGATGCAAGTTTAGGTCTAAACTCTGACAGACATGATTTGGGAGCTCCAATTTGTAGATTCTATTGAATATAGACCATAAAAAAATATTTTTATCTCACAAATATCCTATACTTTAATAGTGATAAAGTACATTTTCGTTATATGCCCTTAACGTAAGGAAAAAAAATGACATAAGTAATTCAATTAACGACCAAAAAAGCTTGATGCAAGCCCCAATATATCCGAATTTCGACATTACTTTGACGTACAATTTATAGCAAAATAATGATCAACATTTGCATAAACTATGATTTTTACTTTTTAAATCGTTCCTATTATTTTTTAAATAATTAAATAAAAGTACCATATATTTCACTGCGCCGACTATGTGAATTCACTACCGCACGAGCGGTTGTCGAAGTTGGACCTGTGTCGATTTCGCGCGATCCGTCTCCATTCGATATTATTGTAGAGTGCGTCGTTTGCCATTACAGGCGCTGCTATTTTGGCCTGTGTTCCGAAATAGAACTCAACTACGATCGCAGTTTTTAATCGTTGGAAGTATTTATATTCTTACAGCATATTTCAGTTAGTATACATTTCGCATATTATTATTATACCAGATAGGGATGAGTCACTCGCGTCCGTAGGCTTCGACCACCAACACCCTACACGAGTCCCCCGGGTGGTGCTAAACGAGCGACAAAGCCGAAAAAAAATAGACTAGGCTTCCCGCCGTGTGGTAGCGGCGTAAAATCTACCACCACCCCTTTCGCACCATGAGTCAGGAGATAAAAGAAATGGCCAAGAGTTCCCGGCGCCCCTTTAATGGGGCAGGGGTGCGAAGAATCTCCGGGAGAAAAACCGGCGACGAGGTTCGCCACCCGTCACGTTCTGTCTCCCGGAGGGGCGAAAAGTGGATTGCAGAAGCCCGTCTGGCTACGCTGAATGTATGTGGAGCAATGAATGATAAGATGAATGAAGTATGCGAAATGATGAATGACAGAGGAATAAATGTGTTATGTGTAAATGAGACGAAACGAAAGGGAAAGGATGCCACTGCACATGGCACGTATACCGCGTATTGGTCTGGTGTAGACGAGACCGAACGGGCATGCCAGGGAGTCGGTTTCATCCTTTCAGAAAGAATGGGTCAATGTGTGAAAGAGTATGAATGTGTAAGCCCGAGGCTGCTATGGATACGAATGAAAGTGGGCTTAAAGAAGCTGTTCTTGTTAGGGGTGTACGCCCCAGACATGTCTAAGCCCACTTACATCCGAGAGCAGTTTTGGGACATGGTAAGGATGGTGTTTACAAAATGTAAGGAAAATGAAAATATTATTATGTTAGGAGACTTTAATGGAAGGGTTGGGGTGAAGAGGTCTGGTTATGAAAGGATATTGGGAACGTTTGGTGATGAAAGTATAAATGAGAATGGTGAAGACCTCCTCACCGTATGTGTTGAAAAGAATCTCTTTGCGACGAATACTTTTTTCGTCATAAGAAGATTCACATGTATACATGGGAAAGAGGTGATGATATAAGCATGATAGATTTCGTAATTGTGGATGAAAAAATGAGGAGCGCAGTCGTAGATACAAGGGTTTACCGGGGGTCCAACGTAGGGACGGATCATTTCTTGGTCTTATGTCGAATTAATGATCTTTTCAAGCGTTGGCAGCATCGGACATCTGTGTCTACCACTGCGTTACAGCGTATAAGAATAGAGAAGTTACAAGATGAAGATGTGAAAGAGAAGTATAAATGTAGACTGAGAGAAAATATTAGGTGTTTGAATGAGTTTTGTATGAATGATTTAGACTTGAATACTGTGTGGGATAATATTAAGAAAGGTTTGGTGGATGCCGCCACTGAAGTATGTGGTGTAAGTAAGAGAACAAATGAAAGGAAAAGGAATACGTTGTGGTGGGATGATGAGGTGCGGGTAGAAGTTGAATCAAAGAAGAAAGCATAGTTAGATTTACTAGCAACTAAAACTGGTAATTCTGGTGGTATGAATGATGAGATTGAAAGAAAAAAGGCAGAATTTAGACGTCTAAATAAGAGAGTAAAAGAAGTATTTGAAAGGAAAAAGAAAGAAAGAACGGATAAGAATGATAGAAGGATATCTGATAATTTCCAGGCTAATATAAAAATGTTCTGGAAACTCGTAAGAACTGCCAGGGAAATACAAAACAGCCTATAATTAATGCTATAAGAGACGAGAATGGATGTATTCTGAATGATGAAGTTTCGAATTTAAACAGATGTGAAGTGAAGCAGGTAAGGCAGCTGGATATGATAGAGTATCGCTCGAGATGCTAAGGGCTGGAGAGGAAGTGGTGGCAGGCCTGCTGTACACCTTGTTTAATTTATGTTGGGAATTAAAACGGGTACCGGATGACTGGTGTAAAGCAGTTATAGTACCAATATATAAAGGAAAAGGGTCACAGCAGGACTGCAAAAACTACCGTGGTATCAGCTTGCTTAGTATTGTGGGTAAACTGTATGCTAAGGTGTTAATTGAAAGAGTTATGAAAGAAACTGATGGAAAAATTTGGGATGTGCAAGCGGGTTTTAAGAAAGGAATGGGGTGTACAGATCAAGTCTTTTCCATGCGCATGATTGCGGAGAAGTTTTTGGGTAAAAACCAGAAAGTTTTTTGTGCGTTCATGGACTTGGAAAAGGCTTATGACAGAGTGGACAGGAATGTGTTATGGCAAACACTGAACTCATATGGGTTGAGCGCTGGTTTGATACAGGCATTGAGGTCTCTTTATAGAGATTCTAGTGCTTGTGTCAGGATCAATGGGGTCTACTCAGACTGGTTTGGCATCCGAAAGGATGTCAGACAGGGCTGTGTGGCTTCCCCTTGGCTGTTCAACCTATTTATGGACAGGTGTTAGCAAACTTTGAAAGATGAAGAATGTGGGTTAAGAATGGGCGAGTTAACCGTCAAGTGCCTTTTGTATGCCGATGATTAAGTCATATTTGCGTCATCGGCGGCTGAGTTGCAAATGATGGTTACATTAATGAACTGGGCATTAAAAGAAAGGGGAATGAAAGTGAACGCAAGTAAGACGAAAGTGATGGTTTTTGAAAGAGAGGAAAGCAAAACGGTATGTGAAATAAGAATAGAAGGAGAGTTAATTGAGCAAATGGATGAGTTTGTGTATTTGGGATGTGTATTTAGCAGGGATGGTAGATATGATAAGGATATAGAACGACGAGTAAATGCAGGGAATAGAGTGAATGGGGCACTACACTCTATTGTGAAGAACCAGAATGTATCAAAAAAGGCACGTATGGTAATTCATAATGCTGTGTTAGTCCCTACTTTAATGTATGGTAGTGAAAGCTGGGTGTGACAGAAGAAGCACGAAAGTAGAATAAATGCTGTAGAAATGCGGTCTTTAAGGAGTATGCTAGGGTTGAATCTGAATGACAGGATGAGAAGTTGCATGATAAGAGATAAATGTGGTATGCAAGATGATGTTGTGACCAGGATTAAGAAAGGAATGCTTCGGTGGTTTGGTCATGTAGAAAGAATGAATGAGGAAAGAGTGACAAAACAAATTTATATGGCAAATGTGAACGGCAGAGTCGGGAAGGGACGCCCTAGAAAATAGTTTATCGACCAAATTGGCAATATTTTGAAAATGGGCCACGTTAAAAGTATCCTTAACCGACGAGCATGTATGCGTAGATATATGGATGTAAAGGAGGCGAAAGAGGTATTTCAGGATCGTGTCAAATGGAAGTCCGTGGTCTCTGCCTCTGGGTGACAGGCGTGAGTGTTTATGCTTATGCTATGCTAGGTAATTCATTATAGTTATTTTGATTGTAGCTGAGCTTTCTTACCAGTCGAAATAGGGAAAAATAAATACAAGTATAAATGTGTCACTAAACGTAAGAAAGGAAATATCCTATCTCTGGAGAAATAATAATGGAGGATAAAAATGTCTGCATGCTTGCCATATGGACTCGCCCAGATTATGCAGCAAAAGTACTAAAAATCTACAAAGATAAGAAATTTTAGATTTTGAATATGTTGTTGAAATATTAGTTACAGTTGGTTGTTTTATTTACTAAAACAGGTAAACAGGTTGCAACCGTACTATTTATTTATTTATACCACTATGCTACCGTTAGTAGATATAATCGATTATTAACCAACATCGATTAACAATCGATTACTGCGAAACAATTAAAATATTTATGTGTACTTATTTCAACACTAATGTTCATAAATAATGAAAAATATACCAAATAGATTATAATAAATTATTTAGATAACATAAAAATGACACACCAAAAATTTTCCATCCACTCAACTCCATCCTAAGAAAACTTGTATAATGGAAGATCAAGATCGTTTAGTCGCTATACTCACAGTACCATAGTGGGAGCGAGTGAATAGATATGAAATAAAGTAACGCTCGTAACTGTCTGCGGGAGCTCGGTTCGTCGCCCGTTCGGTGCGTAAAATACCAAAATTTTCGTAACGCCGAAATGTAAGAGGGCTCTTAATTACTATCGGAGTAATTTGTAAAGACGTTAAAATTTGAATTGAAAGTTATGATTCATTACAAACTCTTCAGATTATTTTTTATTTACAACATATTTTTCATTAACAAATAAGTGGACAAAAACGCTTAGTCAATTATCGCTAAGTATCAACAATTTACTAACTTATCTTCTATTTATTATTACTACAACCATTACCTACTTACTATTACCCATTAACTACTTACTATTACCCATTACCTACTTACTATTACCCATTACCTACTTACTATTACCCATTACCTACTTACTATTACCCATTACCTACTTACTATTACCCATTACCTACTTACTATTACCCATTACCTACTTACTATTACCCATTACCTACTTACTATTACCCATTACCTACTGCAGCCAATCGCAAGTCCACTACTGAAAATAGGCCTCCGCATAGATTGCCACAAAGTACAGTTCTGAGCCACCTGCACCTGCTGGTGGCTCAGAACTGGACTGGCTGCGTATTTCATCAGGTCGTCACACCATCTAGTGGGAGGTTTCACAAAACCGCGCTTGCCTGTACGAGGTTGTTACTCGAAAACCTTTCTTCCCCTACGGGTTTTCGGTTCTTTGAGCTATATGGTCATTTTCAGTTAGAAAATGTAAGTAAAGTACCTGGATGACCGAGCTTTCAGAAGGACAGGATAGGACAGAAGACAGGACGCGAATCAGGGCATATAACATTTTCTAAAAATGAATCCTAGAAAACCCCTGGACACTAAATTTTATGAAAATCGTTAGAGCCGTTTCCGAGATTCCCATAAATATATATATATATATATATATATATATATATATACCTACACGAATTGCTCGTTTAAAGGTATAGGATATATGACATTGTTGACATATTCATATACCGTCAATTCAACGATGTGACAAGGCATTTCAAAACTTAAAAAAATTATAGTTACTATAGTATGCCGTATGTAGCGATGTAATAATATCCACTACCCCATGTTATACCGTGGATGTCGTAAGAGGCGACTGAGGATAACAAATCAGGCGATGGGCGGCAGCGTCTTCTTAATAACTACGTACAAATAAGCTGTTTTTTTTCAAGCGTGGCAACTATGGCAAATATTCTAATAGCTATGAGGCAATATGGTCTATGAGTCTATGGAGAGGCCTTTGTTCAGCAGTGGACTTCAATAAGCTGTAACAGTAACGAATGCTTAGGGTGGGCCATAAGTATATTTTTCAACTGTAAAAAACTTGGGAAATACACAGAAATTTCTTTTCTTTTCTTATATTAAACGTTATCACAGTCTTTTCAATCAAAACAATTAATCTTTAAAAGATAAATCTTGAAGGCCGCTTGCATTAATCAATCCATATTAAAGTCGACTTGCCGAAATCAAAACTTCTTATCAAGGGAAGTTATTATATATATTCGTTTTATTTTCAATATATTTCTTGATATTTTAACCTAATAGTAAACAGAAATTCGTTCTTTTGTGTGTTACTGTCGATTAATTTAAAAATAATACAAACGATTAAATGACACATTTTTAAATTAACGTAGTGTAGTAGGTATATAAATGATGAACTTTGGTCAAGGTAGCCAGTCTCAACGGAGACAAGCAATCATTTCAACTTCCCGCTATGAAAATCAATGATTTTCAAAAAATGGGGAAGTTATTATTTTCACCCCGGTTTTTGAAAATCGACTTCTCATATCTCGAGATTTAGAGGTCCTAGGAAGGTATTTCGACTATTAATTTTGAATTTAAAGAAAATTTGGCTTTATATATATTGTGATAATGTCCGTATGTCTGTATGTTGAGTGTTTACATGTTTACATACATACACACACGTGTATATGTAAACATGTAACCATCTCAGTCAACTTTGTAACGGAGTGGAAAAACGGTTTCCGGCATCTGAAAGTGAATTCCTGAACTTAGTTTTTCTGTGTATGTAAACCGAATCGTCACGGTATATTCTGTGGCAAAACCTCAAACATTCGAGAATTTTAATTTTCAAATAGTAGTTTTCTTTGAATTACTTCGACATCCTTGTTTTGATCAATTCTATAATCTAATCAGCTCTTTAACTCCAAAATTGACGTCGATTGTCGTAAACCGCATCAAAATCGGTTGATTCGTTCGAGAGATATCGTTGACAAAAAAAATCTCAGAAACTGTTTTTTCATAATAACTTTAAAACTGCCCGTGAAATACTTTTTTGTAATTTTTTTCTGTTAAGCTGAAAAAATTGTGTCGAATGCCGTAAATCACATCAAATTTGGTTGATTGGTTCGTGAAATATTCAATTCTGAAAAAAAAAATAAAAAAAATTGGCTTTCCAAAATTATGACGTATTTGAGCTCTTCCTTCGAACGGAATTTGTGAGCTCCTGATGTAAGCGACTACTGCTCTTTTCTTTAAGGTCCCTAAGTCGTATCAGTTTGGAAAAATCGCCGGCGGTAAACGATACCACGGAGGGGCTGTATGAGAAGGAAAACTCCTAGTAAAACATACAGGGGTGGACCGTCAAGCACCCAGATTATGTGGATGGTATCGTGAGTTTTGTCGCGATGTGCGTTCGTGAAATTTGGAGGCTGGAATAAATCCGAACAATTTCACAAGCCACTCCCCGTGGTGGATTAGCAATAGAAGATGCAAAGGCATGCAACATCTCTTCGCAGCGCCAGTCGATCGAGCAGAGTTTGTTTGTTTAGCAAACACAAGTTTGTTCCGGTACTCGGTGACGTTTTCCGAGAAATATTGGCACGGCTGGTGTATAGAGAATCACCAGTGCTGTCACGCGCATAGCAATGAATGTTACCGGTTCGCAACATATCCTTGCCTTGCGTACATAGCCTTGTGGAACACCAGCATTAATAGGTTTGTAATCGGATCATGCACCGTCTACTACGACCTTGATGCTCCGACCCGCAAGAAAGCTGGTTATCCAGTAGCACAATTTCTCAAGAAACCTATAACATGGAAGTTTCTAAATAAGCGCTTTGTGCTTAACCCGATCGAAGGCCTTCGGGATGTCCAAACTAACCGCTAAAGCCGCCGCTTGCGTCCATCGAACCGTACTACTCGTACTCACTTATCAGCTGATGCTCCTCAAGACACCGCGCGTGAGCTGGCAGTTAATGATCGACTCCATCATATTCGATGGATGGATTGATGGCGATAGGATTGTAATTAGACGGATCAGAGCGGTTACCTTTTTTAGGGATCGTATGCACGAAAGCTGTATTCCAAGAATTTGGGACTGTTTAGGGAGTAGGAGTACCGGAAAAGACGCGTTAGACTATCTATGCGCAGGGCAGGATTACAGTGCACAAGAACGTGAGCGAGTATATATATATATATATAGTTATAGTCCGAAGAGACGGTAATCTGACACAAGAGAGAGATCAGGCGCAGGACACAGCACTGGGGTGAAACACCGCCCCAACTTCCTTACTCCAGACTGCTACTGAAAATTTCTTGACAGAAAAACCCAATACCTGATTTTTTTTGGCTCGACCCGAGATTCGAATCCGAGGCCTCATGATCAGCAGCAACCGTGCTTACGAGTACTAGACCAACGACGCAGTCAAATACATTGTATAACGCCTAGTCGGCAATGGGAAGTAGCATGAAAGGCCCAAGACAGCCAAAATTGCAATCGTCAATTTCGGCTGTCTTGGACCCCTGTCCTGTTCCCTGTCAGGTGTTACGATTATGTGAAATCCTTCAGACTATGGGAGAGGATTATTTTCAATCGTGAACTATTGCAGGCTAATAAATAAGAAGCAGTGTATATTAGATATTCAGCCAATATCTTACCAAGTAAGGATGAGCGTTGACCGGCGCGACAACTCCACCAACAATCCTTATATCTGTCACCTCGCCGTCTGCCCCTACCATGATCGCATCCTCGGCCTCCTTGATCCTCGTTGCGAGAGGAATTCCTACGGTTTCATGGTAGTCCACCAAGGGCTCCACAACAGGCGGCGGAACCCTGGCGACTGAAAACGCAACCAGGCAGGACGCGATCAGCAGAAAAATACGCATTTTTTTTCCTAAATCTATAACTAATTAGTCTCAATAATCTAGTTTATATATGGCTTTTTATCTTTATTTCAAATTAAGGCGATAACGAATCTTTTTGAAGTTATAAAACAACTGATTTAATCCTTGATTAATGACTATTTAATCAAACTGCAAGTTCATGCGTACGATAAAATATTTTTTTATCTCGAAAATAAGCAAATATTAATTATCTATAGAAATATAGACAGCTCCGTGACGCAGTGGTTTATCAATGAGCTGCTTGCGACGCTGTGCCGCGGGTTCGAATGCCGCACTTAACAATTATTTGTATGGCATACAAATAATTGTGTCCTAGTAAACTCTTCTTCAAATGTCAAAGACGCCTGCACAGAGCGACTTTTACTAGTTCTATGGAATAAGATTCTTGCTAACGGCGAATCGGTACATCTTTTGGTTAGTAACCAAATAAAATACCACTACCGTGTAGTGATTGTGTTACGGTGTGGTGCAAAAGCATCACTAGCCCATATCATCCATGAGGCAATCTACGGAAGAGGTCGTTCAGTTATGGACTTTTAATACGCTGTAACCGCAATGGCGTTGGTGAGAGAATCCATCACACTTTTAAGTCCCGTGAGTAGTTACGTTGTACCTACTCACGGGTTACGGTTACACTGCAGAAATTCTTTAGATTAGAATTATCACTTACTTGTACTATATAAGACCGAGCAACTGCAGTCATGGAGTTAGTGTATGGTCGTTTGACCGCAGTGGATCTATCAATACTACATTTGTGTTACTTCAACGCATCAAAGGCCGTGGATGTATAATTGCCGACATAAGTCGTGAGCACACTTTTTATTGGTCGACACAACGTTGACCATGCTGACGTTCAACGTGATTGGTTCATCAGTCGATTCTCGTCGTCTATTGGTTTCGAACGTATCATTAGGCTTCCGTACACTTCAGAGCAATAATTTCAATGATAACTTTTTTAATTAGTTTATTTTCGTTAATCGTTTTTGTTACCTCGTTGTTAATTGTTGTTTGTGTATTCCTTGTTATTAATTGTTTTTGTTATTTCTTGTTTTAATTATTTTTGTTGTTATAATTTGAGTGTTCAGATTTTGGTCTAAATATGCAGAGAAGGAAGAATTCGGTGTTAAATAGAGAATCCCGACAAATGGTTTGTTCAGTGTTTAGTTACACGAAAACATTAGGTACTGCGAAAAACATCATAGACGTATATAAACAGACTGCTGAGGCGACTAATGTCTCAGTAGCTACTGTACGGCGCACCGCAACACCGGATTTTATGGAAGGCGTATCACCTCTTCCTTCTTCTTAATAAAATAATCAACACCAGGTATACATTAAATACTTTATAGTAGATAATAAAATAACGGACACGAATATCTGCAACATTACTGTATCAAAGTAAAAGTTGATGTGTTCGAGTAAACATTTTCATAAAAGTCGGCGAAAATATTTAATTACGAATTGAAATAATAAAGGTACCCAGTAATTTTGTCCGACAGTATACCTACCTCCCACCACAGTTTATATGTGCTCACGACTCGTGTCGGCAACTATTTAGTGTTTATTCTATTGACAAACTTACTTTTCTTTCTGTTATTTTCTTACGTGTGTATGATTTAGTGTTAAAAAATTATATTTAAATATTGTGTGTGTATATGATGAAGCCGTGGTAGCTCAGATGGTTAGCGCAAGCTATAAATATCACAGTACGCGACCTGGGTTCGTTCCCCGCCAGCACCAATTAAATTGTTAATTGCAATTTTAAGTGTTGATTTACCACGTGCTCGGCGGTGAAGGAAAACATCGTGAGGAAACCTGTATGTCTGAGAAAATTTCGAAGGCATGTGAAGTTCGCCAACACGCATTGAGCCAGCACGGCGGACATTTCCTAGCCCTGAATACAAAGACAATAGCAGAAAGTGAAAAAGTTAAAAAATACGTAGTTATAAGATCGAGCACAGGACAAAAAATACCATTCCAGTTTGGAACCGTGTGTATTAAACTACATTTCCGAAAATTATAATAATGAATTCTCTTCGTGATCACCATAAATGTCCATGTGAAAATTATTATACGCATCAAGCTGGGTCAGGAGTTGGAGTAATTTATAAGGGTTCACCATACCAACGCGGACATGGTATTGGGAGCTTCTTTGGGGGGTTATTTAGATCAGTTTTACCTTTACTTTCAAGTGGTGCTCGAGTGATTGGTAAGGAGGCATTAAGCGCTGGAGTAGGACTTTTATCGGATATTGTTCAAGCGCGTCCTATGGAAGCCTCAATAAAAGATCGTTTAAAGCAAGTTAGTACGAATTTAAAACGAAAGGCTGTTGAGAAAATTGATCAATTTATATATACATGAGAGGATCTGGGTATAAAACTAAAAGAAAACGATTGACCTCATTCATTCCACCATTAACTGCTAAAGTGAAAGCTGCGAAAAAACTTGGTCTAAAACCAAAAAATATCAAAGATATATTTTCAAATTAATGTCTTCCTTCATAATCATTCTTGCGAGTGCGTTAAGTCAGAATTGGATTTGTTTGCACTACCGTCTACACAAACTAGCATTGAAAATGTATTGTGGATTCATTATGAACCAATTTCATCTCTTGGTGATGATGGACCTATCGAGTTTCAAGTTCCTGGGACAGGCGATGACTACAAAGATTTGTCTCATACATTACTCCACATAAAGGCAAAAGTACAAGATTCAACTAACTTGATATCTACTACAATAGTAGCACCTGTAAATAATTGGCTGCATTCACTTTTTAGTCAACTTGATGTTTATTTAAACCAAAAACTTGTATCGCCACCTAATACCATATCGAGCACACATGGAAAACCTTTTAAACTATGCTCCCGCTGCTAAACAATCTCATCTTACTTGTAGTCTTTGGTATGAGGATACAGCAGGAAAAATGATTCTACAGATAGTAAAAACATAGGATTTGTTAAAAGACAGGAATTGATTAGTGAAAGTAAGGAAAAAGAAATGATTGGTCATCTTCACGGTGACATTTTAAACCAAGATAAATTTTTAATTAATGGTGTTGAAATGAGTGTTAAATTGGTTCGATCAAGAGAGAGTTTTCATTTAATTGCTGGGTCAAACGATGTAAAAAAAAATCAAAGATGTAAAGTTTAAAGTTTGCATTATGGACGCAACTTTTATTGTTCGACGAGCACGAATTAATCCAAGTGTATTACTCGTACATCAAAAAGTTTTAGCTTCTATCACTGCTAAATATCCTATTACTCGAGCTGAAGTAAAAGTTTTAACAATTCCATCAGGTGTTCAAGGAAAAACTCTTGATAATATATTTTTAGGACAGGTACCGAAAAGATGTATAATTGGATTTGTGAACAATTCTGCATTTAATGGTTTCCTTACTAAAAATCCATTTAACTTTGAAAACTATGATATTAATTCTTTCAGCTCATATATTGATGGTCAAGAAATACCTTCAAAAGCTTTGCAACCATCTTTTAATAATTGTATATTTACATCAGCATATCATACTCTATTCTCGGGAACTGGTATTCACTTTCTTAATGAAGGAAATGGAATCTCTTGTGAATAGTATGCCAAACGTTACTGTCTATTAGCATTTGACTTAACTCCTGATTTATCAACCAACTCATCAGCTCATTGGAATCTCATAAAGCATGGTAGTGTAAGATTAGAAGTACGATTTGAATCTTCACTAATACAAACAATTAACTGTATAGTTTATGGTGAGTTTGATAATATTATTGAGATAGATAAAAACAGAAATGTTACTGTAGACTATAGTAGTTAAGATTATAATATGTGTTGTGTGTTAGATTTTGTGTATATGTAACTATGTGAATCGTTATAAAATTAAATAAATCAAATTGTATGCAATATATTATTTTAAATTTCTTTATAAATCTTCTATTTAATCTAATACAAAACACTGTTCGAGTTTAAAGTTACATCGGACTCTCTCATTAGATCATCAATAACAAGATGTGGGTTTTCACCATCAAACATAATATGATTTGGAATTCCTTGATGATAGTTAACATTTGGTAAATTATATAAAGGTTGCATTTCATCAAAGCACCATGTGATCTGATTAAAATCACAATTACATATTTCTGTAACGGATTTTATGAAATTTGTTACAAAATTTGACTTCCCACATCCACTTGGTCCTGCCACATTAGCAGTAAACGGATGTATAAAGTGAAACATTACACACGTCTAAAGTTCTAAGGGGTGAAATAAAAAATGAAAGTGTTGGTGTAGGTAAACAATTAATATATATTGTGTGCTATAACTAATGTTTTTGGGAAACCAAACAAAATTTATGATTAATTTAAAATTTTATTTTCAAACAATAACCACTTGTAAAAAGCCACACTTCATCACAAGAACAATGTAAAATTTTGTGATTATTTTTTGCAAATATATGATTATTACACACATAACGTTTGTTTAAATTCAGGACATTAACCAAATCATTGTATTTTAGACATTTGTATTCTTCAATATTAAAAATTCTATAATTCGTCGTCAACATTTTTAAAAATTATTTTTCTGCTGAACCACCTTTGTATGCGATCACTTCAGTTTTACACAAATTTCTAATGTACCAATTTAATATTGGAATGATGATCTCTTGTTTGTAGGCACATTTTAATTCTTCGGTCACGTCAAAATATGGAATGCCGCGCACGTGTGTTTCGCAATAACGAACAGTTTTTTTGTCTTTTGGCGACAAATAATTGAAAGGATAACTTGGCCAAAACAAATAATGATCGATAAATGCATAATTTTTATTAGATAGTTTTACGTCTAGAATAGCCATTTCTCTACATTGAAAATGTTTATGAGGATATGTAATGTAAAATCCGTCCATGTCGATGATGTATCCAATATTTTTTTTAGATTTTGTGTCATTTTGAACCAAAAAGTTGAAAGTATTTACACGTGACTAAAAATATGTTTGT